TTGTGTGTTCTGGTATCTGAGCCAAGACGTCTTTTGCTCTCCACATAGACTGTTTACCTGCCACTCAGACTGGATTGGTCAATACTCCTCAAACTACAAATGGAAACCAGAACACACTTACAATACCAAAATCTCATCCCATTGCCTACAGACTGTGCATTCATATGCAGATATGTGTTCATAGAGATTACGCCAATTCTAAAACTGAACTGGTATCAACTTAATATTGTAGACTTCAGTCAGTCTATCAGTCTATCAGTCTATCACCACTTAAGACATACAGCATGCTAGCCACTTATTAACTACAACCGCAGTATCGCCACCCATAACTAGCATTAGCCAATGCCTTACCATTGACTAACTTTTTAACTGGAAAGTCAACAGATGAAGCAATAAAGACTACAATGGATGACAATAACACTCAAGTGCAGCGTGGCAGTACTCGAGATCAGTCTCAGTCTTGAGATCGACGTCAAAATCAACCATTACTGAACAGTGTCACTGCTTCTAACTTGGTGCTTTTCAATAGTATGTCTGTTTTACCTTGTTATGTGTCTTACTGAGTGTAATGTGTTCTCATTGACTTTGTGTTCTGGTATGTTTAGTATGTGAGACTTGTGTTCTAGTGGTTTTAGTATGTGTCCATTGTCTTGTCTTTTGTGTACTTGTAACTTTTGCCGCAAGTCTTGGCCAGGACTCCCTGGAAGAAGAGTTACTGTAACCCAATGGGACCCTTCCTGGTTAAATAAAGGTTAAATAAGACAGCTTTTTGATGGTCTTGCTTTTGTCTTGGACTTCACCACGTTTTTACTCAGTCATGTCTCTGTCTCAGACAAATAGGACATAGGATTTAATATCAAGACCAGTCAAGGAATATCACTAACTGTGCAAAAACGGAGTGTTGAACAAAGATGGTTCCCACACATAAAATTCACCTCTGAAATGCCTTTTGATTAATTTATCAAGGCATTATAAAGCCACACATATACACAGTATGGTAATAAAAGAGGTGAATGAATAGGAATCTTCATTTGTTTTCTGTGGGTGTGGGAATGTGTATCTTTCAGATCAATTTGAGGAGTGCCTATGTTCCTCATTTTATCGGCAGTGTGTCATGCAGTGCGGGAGTTGTACTGGTCTGGTCTTGGTCTTGACTAAGTCTCCACCTGCCTTGGTCTGGTCTAGACTTGCTCCCAACCCCTCAAAGTCTTGGTCTTTTCTTGCTCTTGATATACTCTGGTCTTGGTCATGACTTGTTCTCGTCTACAGTTGGTGGTCTTGACTACAACACTGCTCCAGTGATTTAGTTTTGCTTGAAAATGACCGTTGAGATAAATCAACACCTCAACACCAATTAATTTTACTCCTGTATGAAGGGACTTTAGCCCACATATGTTTATCTTTATGTGTGTTCGCAGTGTACTCAGTGTTGTGGTGTGGGGTGTGTGCTTAAAAGAATGTTCATGATAACAGTGTTTTCAGCAGCAGCTTTATCATGCAGCACAGTAAAACATGGATTTATGTACTGTATGAGAGTAAAGGTCAAATGTTAATGTAAAGGGTTTACGTAACGTTGTCAGTTGTTTTTAAAAGATGATGTGTATGGCACACAGGCAAAGGGCAGTGAAAGAGGTCAGTGAGGAGGCGGCAGAGGAAAGGGGTCGGCTGAAAGTATGAAAATGGTGCACATTATGTTTTTATTTCTTGATTTATGGGATTGTGTGGCTGATGTGTACATCCTGGCCTCAGTATGAGTATTTCCCTGGGCTACATTGCATCCTGAGTTTATGAGGTGGATGAACAGATCTTATAGAAGAGGCTTAAGTAATAGTGGGTCCACTTGTTGTCTTAAAAGGTGTCAGTGCAAAACCAGGTCAAAGGGCAGGGAAATAGGTTGAGAGGAAGGGGAGTCTGGAGATGGCATGTATATACTATGTGAGTTATACTTCCTGTGCACATATATGCTCACCCACTGAAGGAATGCATGGCATTTTGTCTGGAATGAGGTTCAGTAAGCGGCCATGAAATTAAGGATTATTTGCATGTTTAATATGTAAAGTTCAGCCTCATAAAGAGCAGTTTATAGGTCTCTACATACATAACTATGATGAAGTGTTGCCCAGAGAACTTTACTCTGTCCTTGACTTCTTTTGTGTTTATAATTTGTAGTTGGCGATAAATATGCAAATACATACGTACTTCACTGATGCATACAAATGTATGTGAAATTAAGAAAGATATGAATTAGCATGCACGATGCAAAAAATATAGCCATATAAACTGAAAAGAAATGAATAATTAGGGGAGATAAAATCAAACATAACACAAGACTGTGCCGAGCTCTGCTGAGGGTAACAAAATCTGTATATGTAGCTCGCTAATTAACACGCTACATCGTGTTTGTTTAATCTGTACAAAAACCGAAGCATAAAAATGCCACTTTGTTGTTTTATGTAACAAACTAATGCTTAGCTGGGAACAGTAACTTCCACAAATCTCCGCTGGTTGCCTGGCAACTGCTCAGAGCCAAGAAATCGTCCAGCACATAACCTCCCCATAAAAAGCATATTTACATTTTTACACATTAAACAAAGATATCAAAAGTTAATTAGTGAGTTTTAGAGGTGTTGGTGGGCAGAGTTTGTCAACGTCACCAGACATAGGTTAGCTGTTTCCCCCTGTTTCCAGTCCTTGTGGTAAGCTAAGTTAAGCTAAGCTAAGCTAAGCTAACAGACAGTTGGCTGTGACCTGATGTTTAACGGACAGACATAAAGCTGTATCAGTCTTTCTGTGTAACTCTCCATCAGAAAGCAAATAAATGTATCTCCAAAACAAAGAGGAAGTTTTTCTTTAACCCTTTGAACCCTGAGCAAATTGGCTTGGTTTCTCTCAGAAACATGGGAAGACGGCAATGAGCAATGGAAGAAGAAATGACCCAAAAAATTGCAAGAAAAAATGTAAAACAAAACAATTTATTTAGAAAAAGAGAAAAAAAAGAAAATTGTAAACGAACAAACAAGGAAATGACCTGGAAAAAGTGCTTAAAATTTCTAATAATTCTGTACCATAATTCTACATATTTAATAATAACAATAATTATGAATATAGTTTTTCCCCACCTTTTTCTTTTTTCCCTATTTTTAAAAAACTAATTTTTTAAATCTTTTAATTTTATGCAATTTGTGGGACATTTCTTCCCAAGTTGCTTATTGCCTTTTCCCCCATGTTTTTGAAAGAAATTGCGGCAATTTGCTTAAGGGTTCAAAGGTTTAAATACTTGGAAAAAGTGATGTCGTCGCCCCTGGATGCCATTTTAACATGTTTTTGTGTCAAAGTGACTCATGGGAACAAATTTTGAAGTTGATCCAGTATTGAGTGGGCGGCAAAACAGGCTGCCTTGTAACCACTTGGGGTAGGTGCGCCATATAAATTTACGCCCATTAAAAGTGTTTGTTTTTGCCACTGACAGGCTCAGATAGTCATTATAAGTGTCTGAGAACATTTTGGGAAAGATCCTACAGAGAAATAAAATGTATTTCCATACCATTTGCTCGTTCGTGTCTGTTTTGTGTCCTAGTTTGCTAAAAGAGAATTCTCATTCTGAAATTTTGCTGACTTTTTCACACTGTCGAAAACAGCTAGACATTCAGCCATGGCATTGAAAATCTTTGAGATAAGATTAAGATATGTAAGATAGGTTTTCTGTACTTCAACGTCAAACTACTTAAGGGTTGTCCTCTCTCTTATGTTCCATTGCCATTGCATAATCATTTTCGTCCTGCAACAAGTCACCTCTTGTCTGATTTCATAATGAGACTTCTCCTTTAGCATAGTTAAGGAGAAATGTTTCATTTCTCTGTAGGATCCTTTCCATAGTGTTATAAGACACTTCTAATAACAATCTCAGCCTGTCAGTGGCGAAAACAAGACTTTTTAATAGACGTAAAGTTACAGGGTGCACCCACCCTGAGTGGTTGCATTGCGGCCTGTGTCACCACTGCTGTAAATGGTTGTTCTCATGAGTCATTTAGAAACAAAAACTTGGGAAAATACTGTCCAGGCTGAAAAAGACTGAAGTTCCCCTTTAACACTTTAATAGTAACAGTATTTGTATTGATTTGATACAGTTTGTCAACTCTGGCAAAATGGTACTGTATCAATATGTGACAACTTGATTTCACAGGAGACACACACACACACACACACACACACACAGTGTTATGACAGAATGGTATCTTACTGTGTTTGACACCTTCAGTAATTGTTTGGATCCTTTCTGTCCTTCCAGCACTGAGCTATAATTATAGTCAGGGGAGCAACCATTCACACACGGGGAAAGGTTGTTTTTTTTGCCGGGTTGCAAGTTTTGGACTCCAACACACATGCAATCTCACTCACACACATTTCCCCATGCCAAGTTGTGGTAATGTAGAGGCCAGCAGAGCAGCAGCCACTGATAGAGGCCTTGATAAGACCCATTTGAAACGGCCGCAGTCACTGAACCTGTCCGCTCTGTGTGCCAAGGACACCATTTACCTTACATAACAGCCATTCTGGGTCAGTGACACATCCACCCATGCCTATTTGGCTTCCTCAAGAACTATGTGCACCTTGACCTTGGCTTCTATTGTCCCATCTGGCTTATATTTCTCTTTCACACCTTCTCTCTCATGTGTGTATGTGAGTTATTTGTGTTTTAAAGTCATGACATGTATTCAGTCACTGCTGCCTGTCACATGCTAAATGATGACTGAGAAGTGTTTGTGAAGTCCTCAGGAGAGTGTGTCAGCGTGCAGCTGTCACATGAGAGGAGATTACAGCTAAAGTTGAGACAAACTCAGTCATCGCCTCATGTGCAATGCAAATGTAACTCTCAGATATCTGACTCATAAAGTGAAGGTGTTGACTGTTAACTGTCTTAAAGTTGCCTTTATTCCACGTGATGTGTTGAACTTTTTTCAGCCCGTTGCAAAAACATCCTCACTTATCCTCACTCACAGGTCAGGAAGTGGAAGATGCTCGCTCGCCATCATGGTGACAGTACAGGCAAGCAGAAGGAAGCAGAGTCAGACCTCCACCTGGGCGGTTGTCAGTCCTGGGGAATCCACGCCTCGCCCCTCCTGGCCAGCCCCGTCATGCTGGAGTGCTCCATCTGCAGTGGGCCCTACATCAGTTATACCCTGGAGGACACCTGGCAGCCACGTCAACGCACACAGGCAGGTTCCTTCTGCCTACTGCTAATTAGATTACACACAGCAAACACTAATTTAATACGGTAATAAGTGGATCCCAAAGCAGGAGACTTACAGGTGTCCTTGACGGGGGATTTTAGAAGATCCCCAGAGAAATGATGGATTGTTAACCTCTTTGTTATATTATACAATAGATGTAAGCAGTGTACAATGGAAGACTGTTTATGCTGTCCTTTCTCAGATGGCTGATGAATAATAATACTGGGAGGCAAAGAAATAATGAAACACTTGAAGGAGAAAAGTTTGTCATAGGACTTAAAGTTTGAAGTCATTTGAAAGGGGACCTATAGAGTTCCTCAGGGATGACGTTTTTCTGTAGGCCGACATAGAAGTTAGCATCATACTGGCTCCCTCGTCAAAAAGCCTATGGGATTTTCTTCCCATTGGATTTTGGGTTATTGCTGAAAAGACACTCTGTGGCAAACAAACTTTTATGATAATTACATGATTTGTTCATCACGATAATCTTCACACATAAACACCACTTTCGTGATTATTGAAGCTTTAATGCAATCACAAAAGTAAAGACCTAATGTTAGGCTATAGACAAACTACACTATGATCACATGACCTAACATCACCGTCATAACAAGACTGTAAAGCTGTGTTCGGGATGGTTCAGCATGAAGACTCTCTGTAGTCTCATTTAGCCACTTGTTAGCAACCGTGTTTTTTAAGACACATAGAAGCTTCAAAGTTCATGAGAGGGGTATTTACTGACGTGTTTTATGTAAAAACATGAAAGTCTCTTAAGCTTGTGTTAACAGCAGACCTTATTTCAGGCATCTAACCAAAGACCCATTCAAAAAACCCCATTGACATTGAGACAATGGAACCAGGAGTGGTAAAATGCTAACTCATTTTCAGGTTTTAGGACTCATTCCTGAGGCAAAATGAGCATAAATGCTTATTTTCAGGTTCATATTTGTATTTTGGGTTTCTACCAGAACATATTAACATGCTTTTATTTTCAAAAAAACATTTAATTTTCCCAATAGTTAGAACACCTGTATTCACCCTCTGTCTGAGAGGTTATGTTTTAGTGCCTGTCTCTTTGAGCCTCCCTCCCAAAAACGCCCAGCCTGCTCTGATTGGCCAACGTCTTCCCTATCTCAGCATCTCTGCAAATCCCCAGTAGTAGCTTATAAATCAAAATCTTCATAACCAGACATGTTCCAGCAGGAATATGATCTAGAATCAGGGAAAGATTAACAACATTAGCAACCAAGATTACATGTTTCACTGATGTTAGCATGTAGCTACATGTAGCAGTGTGCTTGTAGATGGGGATGACTATAATGCAGGGATGTGTAGCAGCACTTTCTACCATGAAAAATCCCCAATAGTAGTTTATAAACCCAAATCTTAACAACTGGACCAAAACTGGGGTAAAATTAACAACATCAGCAACCAAGATTACATGTTTCCCTGGTGTTAGCATGTAGCTACATGTAGCAGTGTACTTGCAGTCGGGGATGACTGTAATGGAGTGATGTGAAGCAGCACTTTCTACCATGAAAAATCACTCATTAAAGCTTCTAGACCAAAATCTCCGCAACCAGACTGAAGTTGAAGAGAAATTAACAACATCTACAACCAATATTACATGTTTTCCTGACGTTGGTATGTAGCTACATGTAGCAGTGTGTTTGTAGCTGAGAATGACTGAAATGCAGTGATGTGTAGCAGCACTTTCTACCATGAAAAATCGTATAAAATAGTAGTTTATAAACCCAAATCTTAACAACTGGACCGAAACTGGGGTAAAATTAACAAAATCGGCAACCAAGATTTCATGTATACCCGACATTAGCATGTAGCCACATGTAGCAGTGTAGGCAACGTAATGTAAAGGCTTGCAGTAGCGTGCCTGGAGCACATGATTATATAAGAAATCTGTCAGTGTTGAGAACGGTCCCAAGCCTGAAGTTTTGCTCACATGGATTAGTTGTGTTTACTTCATTATGTGAAACTTTAGCCACGTTTAATATGAACATTTAACACTGTAATATACATATATATGACAAAATAAATAAAGAAAAGCATATTAAGTTCCCTTTGATTATTGTTGGACACATCCCCATAATGGTGGGTCATAATAGGTTGCTCACAAGTTTTCAGCATTTATAAAGCCTTATGTCTGTCCATCCCTAACTGTTCAACTTATGTTCTTCTTCTGTGGTACAGTTTGTGTGCTGCATAAACATGAGTTTAGAGGATGCTTCTCTATACACCTACTGTAGAGTTTGGCCACATATCATTTGGCTCTGTTTACTGCGGTACAAAGTGCTGACTGCAACGCCACTTTTATTGCTGACCAGTACTGCTAATTGGTATTCAACATAGCATGACCCTCCTTTGTAGCAGGTACTTGTAATTGTCATAAGGTTACTTCAATAACATTTTTTCATTTAGCCCCATGGGCATTATCGTGGCATCCAAATTTTTATGTGCTACTGCAGCAAATGTGTCATATTTAAAGGGACAGTTCACCTTAAAATCAAAAATACATTTTTTTGCTCTTACCTGCAGTGCTATTTATTAATCTAGATTGTTTTGGTGTGAGTTGCCGAGTGTTGGAGATATCAGCTGTAGAGATGTCTGCCTTCACTTGAATATAGATTAACCAGATGTCACTCGACTTGTGGTGCTCAAAGTGTTGGTGGGCGTAAAAAGAAAATAGTTCCTACATTAAACTGCTCACAACAAGGTCTGTGGATTATCTTGAATAACCGGGTCATGATTTCTGGAAAGAGACATTGATGTTGAGTTTTTCAAATGTATTTTTTGGCGCTTTGAGCACCACAAACTGAGTGCCATCTAGTTCCATTATATTGGAGAGAAGGCCAACATCTCTACAGCTGATATCTCCAACTCACAACTAAATAATTTCCACTGATAGATAGCTCTACAGGTAAGAGAAAAAATATGTATTTTTGGTTTGGGCGTGAATTGTCCCTTTAAGATGTGTCTGTCTACTTTGTGAATCCAAACATATGCTTTTACTTCCCAGTCTGAGAAAATTAACAGCTAAATGGCCTCCTAATACAAATGGATTTTCATAGTAATGCAAAAATATTACATTACAAGAAATTATATTAGAAAGCAGCATAATAATCTGTATGTTGGAAAGGAAACTTCATTAAAGCAGGAATTTGCATTCATTCATTCATTTGCATCTTTTTCCCGTAGAGTTTTGGTGTATATGAACCATAAAAACCAAACTTAATCATTTCATTAATGGTAAAAAGCAAAAACATTTCTAAATGTGCTTTATGTTATGACTCACAGTCATACTCAGTCAAGCCTCGACCTCTGCTTGACCCTCACACAGATAAAAAAAATCTTCCATCTCTTTCTTTGCTTCAGCTTGAACAGCCCAAACTTTCTGTCTTCTTTTAGAAAGGTAAATCCACAATAAAATATTAATGAACACAAAGCCTCGATTCACCATCACTATGGATACGACTCCATCAGATCTCTGAGTCAATAAACAACTCAGGAGAAAAAGACAGACGGAGCACGGGAGGCAAATTCAAGGAGAAAGGGGCATGAATGGTAGAGTGATTGTTGACTGCAGAGATATGTTGACAGTATAAGGGGGATATGAACAGCAAGCAATATGTGTATACGTGTGTGTGTGTGTGTGTGTGTGTGTGTGTGTGTGAGAGAGCAAAAAACAGAGGGAAAGATGGATAGACAAAGCTGCTGTCAGCTATATTAAGACTTATATGGAGATTAAATAACCAGCATGACATGCAGATTGTTGAGAGCATCGCCTCTGAATGAATAAACAAAGTGATGAGATTGAAACAACTCACTCTCTCTCTCTCTCTCTCTCTCTCTCACACACACACACACACACACACACACACGCCTCAGCATGTCTCGTTCTCAGAAAACACCCATGGGAAAACACTGAGAGCTGCGATAAGTTTCAGAGCTGCACCATGGAATAGCAAACTGGGGTAAGACTGTATTTAACAGAGCCCCTTTGAAAAGTCGGTGACTGACTGCGACATCACGAAAAACTAATATGTGACACGACAGCGGGGCTTCACGGGAATGTCCTGAGATGCAAATGCAGCTGTGACAGCTGCCAGTTATACTGTTAATGTGTGTGAAAAGAAGAAGTAGGGCAGACTTAAGTAGCTGCTGTTGACATATGTGCACACTCATGAGTGTTTACTTGATCACTCCTGAGCCATTGAACCTGCCACGTATAGAGCAATGTATTGACTCATATAATCTAATGCACGTCAAAGGTCAACACTCACTCACAAAGACGTAAACATTGCCTCACATGCAGCAGTGAAAAACAACATTGACTAAAGTGATTGCTTCTTGTCAGATTAAGATTTTGCATTGTGGTTCCCAGCCTTTATGGATTGTGCATCTTAGAAAGCACAGTGTCTTGTTTGAGCTCTTTGTCTATGAGTTTTGGTTCAAGGTCCAGTTTATTCAGAATTACACAACAAATCAAGTCCCAAAAATGACTTCAAATTCATGCAGCAGAACTATCCTTCTTCTTTCTGGCACTATCAACCACTGGGCTAAACTACCTCAACCAGCCGCAACAGTAAAATACTACTTCCACATTGTTGTATCAGTATTATTCTAATACAGCAATATACAGTAATGTATCAGTCACAGGGTCCATTTTTCTGCTTAATTTTACTTTTGATACTTAAAATGCATTTAGCTAATGATACTTAAGTTGGATTTTTAATGCAGAACTTGTAATGGAGTATATTTGTAGTAATGTGGGTACTTTTACGTCAGTAAATGATCTGAATACTTCCACCACTGTCCACACATTTCTTTTATTCAAGAGATTAAAAGTGGACCTTTTATGCTTTTCCTTATTTTCTGTGATATAGCCTATGTAATGTTACAGTGTCAGATGTTCATATTAAGTTTCAAATAATGAGGTTAAGATCATTCTGAATACTGTTTCCAATAATTTTTCTACTTTGGCTACCAGGTGACATCGGTTTATATCAGATTTCTTTATAAAATCATCTTCCCCAGACACGGGGAAGGGGAAGGGGGAGGGTACTGCTACATGTAGCTACATGCTAACATCAGTGAACCTTAATCTTGATTGCCCATGTTGTTAATTTCTCCCAGATTTTGGATCACATTTCTGCTTAAACATGTCCAGTTTGGAATATTTTGGTTTAGATGGATGGATGGATAGATGGATGGTTGGATAGATAGATAGATAGATAGATAGATATTTCCATACACATAGGCATTGATTGGACGTGTTAGTTGGCTGTTGACTGTAGCCTTTGCAGTGTGTTCAAGAGCATCATTCTGAATACTGTCTCCAACTGTTTTTCTATTTTGGGCACAAGATGAAGTCAGATCCTGACAGGTTTCTTTATATGGTCATCTGCTACTGCCAGCTACATGTAGCTACATGCTAACATCAGTGAAACACATAATCTTGGTTGCAGATGTTGTTAGTTTCTGCCTGATTTTGCAGCATATTTCTGCTGGAACATGTCTGGTTGTGAAGATTTTTATTTAGAGAGTTTTATTTGTCATTTTAAAGGTAGAAGTTTGGCTATAATCTGTTACAGTCATTCCATGTCTGCAATACACTGCTACATGTAGCTAGATGCTAACATTAGGGAAACATGTAATCCTTGTTGTTAATGTTGTAAATTGATCTCAGATTTCAGATTGTAGTCTTGCTAGAACATGTCCAATTGTGTTAAAAAGCTTTTGTTGGAGATTTTTCATGGTAGAAATTACTGCTAATCTCTGTTACAGTCAGCCCCTGGCTGTAAGTACGCTGCTACATGTAGCTACATGCTAATGTCATGGAAACATGTTATCTTGTAAAAGTAATTTTTTCTCAGATTCTGGATCATTTTATGCTGGAATATGTCTGGTTTGGTTTTGCAGCTTCTGTTGTAGATTTCCATTGTAGAAAACACCACTATTTTCTGTTACAGTCAGTCCCTGGCTGAAACTACACTGGTACATGTACTCACATGCTAATGTCAGGGAAACAAGTAATCTTGGCTGCAGATGTTATTGATTTCTTCCCGAGTCTGGATTATATTTATGTTGGAACATGTCTGGTTGTTTTTAGAAGCTTCAATTAGTAATTTTTATGTTAGAGGGTGCCATTTTACTCTCTTCATGCTGCACATACACTCCTACATGTAGCACATGCTGCACGTACACTCCTACATGTAGCTACATGTTAATGTTAGAGAAACATGCACTTGATTGCCAATGTTATTAATTTCTTCCTAATTTTGGATGATAGTTCTACTGGAGCATGTTCAGTTGTGAAACTTTTATTGGTGTTTTTCAAGCTTGAAAGTGCTGCTATTCACCATCACAGTCAGCCCCTGGCGCAATGGCAATGCATAGATGCCAAGAGCACAGATATGGAAGAAACAGAAAAGCTAACCAATCTTAAAGAGACAGGCAGTAAAACAGTGTTTCAAACAGAGGGTGGATACAGGTGTTCCAGCACACACAGCATGAGGAAAATTAAAGCATGTAAACATGTCTAGTACAAGTATGAACCTGAAAATGAACACAATAGGTCCCCTTTAAGCTTTCTCATGTCTGTGTTTTCAGATATGGTGCTCAGTAAAGGTTAGCTTGGCTGTACGCGATCATCAAACAGTTCCTGAACAGAGAAAAAGTGGGGGTGAACACAATGTAATGTCAACAGAGCAGATGTTCTGTACATCTCAGTAAGATCATTTTCACCCTGGCGCTCAGTCTCACTGAAGCACAACAATACTGTGTCGTCATGTTGTTAGAGCAGAGGTTTCTCACCGCTTTCAGCACAGGACTCAAGTGATTTAATGTTGTCTCACCCTGGAAACGCAGCCTCATTAAAACACATCATGTGGGGAACCTACTGAAACTGGGGCACGAACAAGTCTGGGTCAGAACCAGTGGTTTTAGAAATGGCGAAATGCCGTCACATCTTGTAGTCACTGCACGCTTAGAAAAGCAGCTTAGATCAGTGGTTAATAATAATAATAATAATAATAATAATAATAATAATAATAAAAATATATTGTACGCCCTCAGATTTGGGTTTTAACCTCCAGGTTGGGAACCGCTGACCCAGATTATACCTTGACCAGCCTATTTGTTTTTATCTAACAGGGATTTGAAAGAAGGTTATAGCCTAAGGGCTGTACAGTTACCACAAGGTGTAGAGCACTTATTATCATTCAACTGAATTCAACGAGGAAATTTACCAAAACAGGATCTGCAGGGTTGAACACAACAATAGCAGTCTGTCGACTAATCAACCAGTAGATGTAAAAACGTCTTGATCTCTGTTGCTATTGGCCTCCTGAATAGGATTATGTAATCCTTTGTTTGTTAGTTGTTTTTTTTTTGTATGTGAAATGTTTGTGTGCTGATTGTGAGATATAAGAGGTTACTGTATTGTAACCCTAGTTCTATTAACCCAGGCAGAGCGGTCTACTGGACTCTGTGGGTAATACTCTCCTCTAGTCACATTCATGCATACAGCCATGGAAAACTGCATAAATGTAGCCAACCAATCAGGGTGTGCCTACCCTTATATGTACTGAACCCACCCATATATGAGCATTAGAGCTCTGTTCAGGCCCAAAAACATCATGCCCAACCCTATGTCGACCTGCATAGTTTGCGTCAAAGCCCAACCTGGAGCTAAGGGCTGATGTGGTTCCTTGCACCACTTCTGATTCTTCTCTTCCTTATTTCAGTAATTCGGTAGAGCAGGCTGGGCCCCTTAGTGTGTATATAGTGCTCACAGCGGTCCATGGCGATGTGGCGTGCAGATGATGATCACTGCTCTTGGCTGCATGTTACACACATCTCCTCTATTGCTGGGGAGGCAGAAGCAAACACTGCCAACCAAGTCGCCTTGCAGCCCCTCTCCCCTTTTCTCGTTTTCCATCCCACTGTCTCGAGCACTCTCTTTCTCCCCCATTTCTACACTATTGCTCTGTTGTTCAACCACTTTCTCTCTCTTTCCCTTTTGATTCAATCCATTAAAACTTCTGCAATTTATGCTCCATAACTGCCACCTTCATTCAAAATACATAAATACATTTAAGAATACAGTACATTGGCGAGCACCCAACCTGATTCAAGCATGGGGGAATAATGAGAAATTACAGCCTGGCATGACCTGAACCCGGCAGGTCAGGTTGGGCCAAGTCGGACTTGAGGAAATAATCAGAGCTCTAGACGGCATCCGCCATTTTACACCATCTTCAGCAAGTGTAGGAACGTCAGGGCCCCTATAGGGCTCTGCCTGTGCTAATAGAACTAGGGTCACAATATCGTAACCTTCATTCTATCTCATGCAGGCTCCGCCCTCTACTGGACTCTATGGTGGTTGGTGCCCGATGAATAAACACCCTATCGCGACATAACATTGACCCAAACACACTGATCGTGACCAAAGAGTCCAGTAGAGGGCGGAGCCTGTGAAAGATAGAACAAAGGTTACGATATTGTAACCCTAGTTCTATTGGCATAGGCTGAGCCTTCTACCTAGGGGCCTTGTTGCTTCTACACCGCTTGCTGAAGAGGGTGTAGGATAGTAAATGCTGTTAAATGGCTCCTATTTGTATTGTGGGCTCTGCAGGTATTCAGGTAGGCACGTGCTGATTGGCTGGCTACATTTATCCAAATCTTTTGGACAAATGTGTGCTCATGATTGGAGGAGAGTGTTACCCATACCCACTACTGGCTGTGCAACAAACTGCCCCCCTGGGATGATAAACATAACCATGACCTTGCCTAATTTATTAATGAGTTTGCATTGCTTAGACTTTTAGAGAATTAATTGAGTGTTATTGAACTGAATCGATAGTCTGAATTGCAGTGTGAGTGCCTCTTATATACTTTTCATTTGTTTTTTTGTCATGTACGTATTCAGTTTGTTTTACTAAGTAATGCCATATTTCTCCCCCAGGCGATGGACCTGTACTACCACAATGAGTCAGACCCAGACAGCTACTGTTGCCCTGGCGACAACAGTAAGTCACCAGCAACTAAACCCCTTGTTTTGTATTCCTCCACTTCCTCCCGTCTCTCCTTGTTTCCCATCTGTCTTTCACACCGTGACTCTCTTTTCTCTGTTATCTCTCTCGCCCTCAGTCCCGGGTCATTCCTCTTTATTATCTGCAGTTTTCTTTATTCTCACCATCAATCCAAAATAATCTCCTACCATTCATTCTCTGTCTATTTTTCTCTTGTTTGTTGTTTCCCTTTCGTCCAAACCTGATGGCTGATTCAGCCTGCACTCACACTCACACTCACACACTGTGTAACTTTATCTTACCTTACCACTTGGCTCTCTAATCCAACCCCTAAGCTCTCAGGATAATAACTGTTGTTCATAAACCAAGATTACTATTTGTTGTTTTGTGGAAACTGGCCTGGAGAGCAAAACAATAGTTACAGACACAATGCTGAGAGCTGATCATCATGCACATTATGCAGTGACCTTTTCCACAACTTCTGCTGCAGCAGAAATATGTTTGTCTCTGTTGCTGGGTGAGAGGTCAGCATTGGTTTATGGCCAGTGTGACTGTAAGTGACTGTACTTTAATTTTCCATCACGCTCCTTATTCATGCCACCGCAAATCATAGTCCAACCCTAAGTGCCCAATACATGTGTGTGTCATGTTTTGGCTTAAAGCTTATCTATTCCCTTTTTTATTATTATCGTTTTACCTTTACCTGTGCCGGGAATCTTGCTGGTGTTTTTCCCGCAAAAGTGTTTGTGTGAGGGTTTGAGCTCACCAATGCATCATTTCCCAGCCAACATCTGTATGTGGGGCCCTTGTGGATAGAAAATGGGCTGAAAATGAGCTCTATTTGGGATTGTCTGTGGGTTGCATAATGGCCCCATACCCATTGCCCACATGAGTTTCATGCAGAGTTAAATGGGTGTTAGGTAGGCCCCAACTGGGCAACATACCCTAGACCCATCTTGGCCCCAGCTTTACATTCAAGGTAGGTATCACATTGGGACTACATGGGCTGAAATGCGCGCTGCAGGTGGGTTTGTCCAAGGGCTCCATGTCTTCTTGTAACAAAATTTGAAACTTTCCTTTCACTTTGGACTCAAGTTCTTTGCATTTTAAACTGTAAGTCATAATTAGCAGAAACTACTATTTTACATATTCTGATGTATCGCAATATTACTTTGCTTTTCAATGTAGGAAGCATTCATTTCCACTCTGGGATAGTATGCACATTCTTCTCACCAGCAGTGGAGAAAGAATTCTGAGTCTTTACTTAAGTAAAATATTGATACTGCTATATAAAAATACGCAATTAAAAGTAAATGCCCTGCATTGAAAATGTTATTTAAAGCTGGGGTAGGCCAAAATCTGCAAACAGCAGAATTGGAAAATACACCCTCCTTCTGCAGCTCTCCTCTCTCTGTCCTAAACCCCTCAAACCAGATGACCACAGGCATATGCACATGCTATATTCAGTAATCCAGTGTTTCTCATACACTGATTTATTAAATCTTATTTTGTAGTAGAGTTTCCTGCAATGTATTCACTTAGTCCCTTCTTTCCCTGCTCTCTCTGATGAAACCACAAATGAAAAAAGAATTAGCTAACTAACATTAACTGCCCCACAGTCCCTCCGCTTTACTCTCAGCCTCTGTGGACTGCTTTGCCAGCACGAGAGCAGGCAGCAGCTTTGGAGATGGACTTTTGGTAAGCTGTGTAGCAACTTGAATCTGGCCACTGCAACCCCCCCCCCCAACACCAGGTGTCACAGCGAGCTGGTGGCCATCGGCAGTGCAGGGTCTAACCTGTGTAATGGCAGCAACAGAAAGTTTGTTGATGGGGTGTGGAGTCAGGGCTAGTCACTGTCCCAGAGTTGGGGTTTGTGCAGACTGAATTCAAGTTGCAACAGCAGCTGACTGGGGGGTCCCTCTCTGGAGCTGCTGCCCACTTTTTGCTGATATCCAGTATGCGGATATAATACATTATTTGGCCAATAACTGATATCGATATATCCGCCTTTTTTCCCACCTAATTTTAGTGACCATCAAGTCTCTCCTGTAGTGGAATTAACATCATATTATGCATGCATGCTCTTACCATGATGGCCCTCCTGCAGATGGAGACATGAAATACAAAGCTTCTCAATGTATATAATATTCGTTTATTATACAAAATAAGAAAAAGCATATTGGCTGATTCTGATAGTTCATTTTAAAGTCGATATCGGCCGATACCAATGATGTGCCAATATTATCTTGCATTGCTACTAACCTAAACATAAACGTGAAGCCTTTAGCTCCGGTTAGCACCATAGCTTCCGCCATATGGCTGCTCTGTCACTATCTTCGGCTACGATTTCTACCCCTCAGTCCTTCTGGGGACCACTAGGGGTGTTTGTGCTGGCCAAATTCGAGCCACTTCAACCAGCGACTGAAGGTTCCCTCCAGAGCTACTGCCTGCTCTTGAGGCAGTCTATAGTGCCGGGGTGTGAGGCAGAGGACAAACTGTAATTATAGGCTCTAGCTCACGTTAGCTACTTAAAAGTGGAGTTGAAGCTTTAGCCATGAGCCTTTAGCTCTGGTTAGCAGAAGGCTAAACTATTAGCAACATTTTCTCTTTATCTCTGAAAGACTTTTCCAAAACTGTCTGACTCTCTTTTAGACTCTCTTCTTGATAAGTCTGTCCTCTTTTTTGGGCTGCTTTGCAGTGTAGGCAGTTGTTGCCAATCCTGGAATAGCAATTTTCTCTGCAGGCTTCCCCACCACTGAATCAACCTTCAGTTGAAGGGAAGTGCAGCACACGCATCTGCAGTGTAGATGCAGTGTGGCTAAGTTCAACTGTTGTATTTAGTGTTGGGTAGTTTAATCTATAATATTGCATCGTATTCCATGAACTCTTATGTTTAGTATGTAAAGTCTTTAAAGTCAAAAGGAACTAAAGGAGCATGACATGGAAATACTTAAAGTACAAGTGCCTCAAATTTGTATTTAAGCACAGGACTGGAGTAAATGTACTTGGTTACTTTCCACTGTCGCTTGTCACTCTGTGTTACTGCAGTAACAGAACTTGGTAGCAGCTCTGCAGGTACCTGCTGCCTGCTGGAACATCTCTAAGACAGAAATGTGACAAGAACTATATTCTGATGAAAATGTTTTTCGGTGGGAGTAGTCTGCCTGTTAATTACGGGAGTTTTCAGCGTATGGAAAGACATCCAAGCAATTAGGCGAGCTGGTGACAAGCTGTTCCTGTGGCCTGGGCCGTGATGCTGCTACACCCTGTCGTTCCAAGCTCAGCAATTAGTGGCTTTCGGAGAACTTAAAAGTTGAAGTTTGTCCCATGTGAGTCATTTACAGTGATGCAGCGATGTGTGTGACAGAGGTAGCAGTAGAGAGCTATGATGGAGAGCCAGGGAGAGATCCAATAATAATAATTATAGGGAGGAGAGCTCTGACTGTCCATCTTAACGGAGGAACAACCGTGTGTCCTTTCACTATGGTCTTATGTAACAAAGAGCATTTGCTGACTCTTATTAAAACACATTAGTATGCTCATTAACTTGCTGCAGAGCGGTTAATCAGCATTTACACACTGACTCTTCTTCCTGAGACGCCAACAGGTTTATACAACGTGTGATTACAACGCCTGAGTGTGTGTTCTCAAAAACGACTCTTTTGTTCTCAGTGACGCAATACACAATATCAGCAGCTCCCTTTCTGAAGCTGTTATTTACTCTTTTCTTCTTCCGCTCATGACACATCGTTCACCTGTGTCAACCTGCCCCTGGTGCATGCAAACATACACACCTCCACACACACACACATTCAAAAACACAGCACAAATATAATATGCATATTACCTTATATTTCATACAGACACTCCTAAACCAGAAGCAGGTTTGAGAAGCTTGTCTGAACACGTTTGTTGCCCTCATATCTTGCATGTTTACAGTAAGACAGATTTGGGTGTGTGCGCTGTATTCAGAGCCAGGGCCACCAATGGCATAATCCCTGTTCCCTAAATCTACCTTTGACCATCACAACCTAATTCGAGCCTTAATCCAAAAGCCAAATCCTCACCCCCCTACGGCCCTAAAAATATCCTCTCTTTGCAAAAATGCTTTCATTTTTGGGGATGTCCTGATAGCCTAGAGGTTAATGTTTCCACTTCACATCCTGCTGGGTGCCTGTATTGCATGGCATTTCCCATCTTTCTTTTCCCAGATTTTTTGTCATCTCTCTACAGCCACTATCTAACAAGACCATAAAATTCCCCCAAACTACCTTTTAATGTTCTCACTTCTAGCATTTCAGGAGGTATTTAAAGCTGGGGTAGGCAGTTTGATTTTGGCATCATGGGGCAAAAATCCCATAATAAACTTTAAGCATATTGTAATTCAAGTAGACTGAGAAAAAAATAGACTTTTGCATCTTCTCTTGGCTCTGTTTTCAGACTTTAGAAAATTCAATTCAATTCAATTTTATTTATAAAGCCCAATATCACAAATCACAATTTGCCTCACAGGGCTTTACAGCATACAACATCCCTCTGTCCTTTGGACCCTCACAGCGGATAAGGAAAAACTCCCCCAAAAAACCCCTTTAACGGGGAAAAAAAAACGGTAGAAACCTCAGGAAGAGCAACTGAGGAGGGATCCCTCTTCCAGGACGGACAGACGTGCAATAGATGTCGTACAGAACAGATCAGCATAATAAATTAACAGTAATCCGTATGACACAATGAGACAGAGAGAGAGAGAGAGAGAGAGAGATGCAGGTAATGACAGTAGCTTACAACAACATTATTGAAAGTAATAATATTATAGTTATAGTTCTGGCTACTGTGGTACAATATGTTGAAAGTATGTCTTAATATCTGGCAGTATACATGTGTGACAATAATCATATGTGTATAATAACAGTAGAAGTATGACTAATGACTAATGATGGCAGCAGCAGCAGGAGGCATCTGGCAGGACCACGGCAGCAGCACAACCAAACACATCTCGC